ACCCCCCTGCTCAAGCGGGGACATCTAGAGCACATGGCACAGGATCACATCCAGGCAGGTTTTGAATATCTCTTGAGAAGGAGACTCCACAACCTCTCTAGGCCTGTTCCAGTGCTCTGTCCCCCTCAGAGTTAACAAGGCGGGGGTGGGGGGTCCCCCCCTCAAATTCAAGGGAAACTTCTGCGTTTTATTTCGTGGCTGTTGCCTTTTGTCCTACCACTGAAAAGAGTCTGCCACCATCCTCTTGACACACAACCTGAAGATAGTTTTATATGCTGAAAAAATTCCACCCCCCTGCCGCCTTCTCTTCTCTTCTCTGCACTAAACAGGCCCAGGCTGGCTCATGGATAACTTGTTGCCCACCAGCACGCCCAGGTCCTTCCCTGCAGAGCTGCTTTCCAGCAGGTCAGCTCCCAGCCTGTACAGGTGTATGGGTTTATCTGTCCCTAGGACCCTGCATTTGTCTTTGTTGGACTTCATAAGGTTCCTCTTCACCGATCTCCTCAGCCTGTCCAGGTTTCTCTGAATGGCAGCACAGACCTCTGTAGTCATTCCTCCCAGTTTTGTATCATCAGCAAACTCGTGGAGGGTGCGCTCTGTCCCTTCCCATCCAGGTGGCTAATGAGCAAATTGAACAGCATTGGACCCCTGGGGACACAAAGCACTACAGGCCTCCAACTAGACTGTGCCACTGATCACAATCCTTTGAGCCCTGACATTCAGCTAGTTCTCAATTCACCCCACTCTTATCTCTAAGGAAGTTATGGGAGGCAGTGTCAAAAATCTTTCTGAAATCAAGGTATGCAACATTCTCTGCTCTCCACTCATCTACCCAGTCCTAGAAGGCTCTAGGGATGGAGGTATGGCTGACTGTTCTGCAGTAGATTATACAGTTCCCCAAACACTGCCAAAAATCCTACAGTTAATTATTCATAAGCATGTATACACAACTGTGCCATTCTAATCATACATTACCCCTAGATAACTTTGTATCAGTGTATCAGAACACAGTCCAACTTCAAATTAAGCTCCAAACCTAAATACTTAAAATCAAATAAAATAAAATTAAAAGATCAACATATTTTGAATTACTAACCCAGTAGTATCACTTTGTAACTGTCAATGTTGTCATACATAAGAAATTCCATCAGTCCCTATGTTACCAACAACCATGAATTTATCCTTCAAGGAAATCTCATCACTACTTGTAAACAAAAATTGAATAGCAGAGAAAGAGCAATATCGTCATATTCGGTTGACCTCTGCAAGGACCATGATGACCATTTTTTGTGCAAGCTATAGCAGCCCTCCATCATAACGGTGCAGCCAAGACTCCATGTAGAAAGGTTTTAGTGATTTTAATTGTTTCTCATAAAGAAAGTTCATATTCTGGCTTTTGGTGAAGGAAGAATCCAGTAAGTTCTTGTCTATTACACCGTAATAAAATGATGGGAGAGACATGAATTCCAAAAGATATTATTATGCAGATACACTGAAGCTAATTTTAAACAAAACAACTTTAAATCTGACACTTTAAAATACTTCATTTGCAATCCTAGTCATGCTTTTAATATATCTGCACACATATGTTTTCACATATACATACATATGTATGTATGTATTTATACATACAGTTATATTTTGCAAATCCTGTTGATCTGCTGTTACGAATGGAGAGACGTGAATTCCAAAAGATCAGCAAGTCTGAGTAGTACTTCAGATCCCAATTTTTCACTTTTTGGATAACATAGTCCAGTAAATTTTCTTAATGGTTAAAAACTCCTTGCACCTGGTTGCGTATTCCTCTCAGAGGGTGTGTTCAGCATTGGGCACAGAAAATGGGGAAGTTACTGTGCACATTTTGGTTATGTTGGTTTTTTTTTTTTTTTTTGTGTCTTAACCCTTTGTATCTTAACTGTGGCAAAAATGTCCCATATATATGGATCCAAGAAACAGAAGAGAGGAGGCAAAAGTAACACTGAAAAACATGATATTGTGCTGATCTTGTATAATGCCTAAGAAAGGGCAGAAGTAATCAAATGGGCTATATTTACAACCAGACATTGAAGAAGGAATTAAAAATCTATCTAAAAGAAAAAAAATCTTCTCTATACTAGAATTTGCACATGATAATATATGCTGGCACTATACATTCTTAGGACAACTTGGTCAACTGATCTCCACTCTCGGTATTGAAAAAAAATTGCTCTTTCTTGTTTTGAGCAGCCTTGAAATAACAAGGTCTTCAGAAGGGCTGTTGAAAATTCCCTGCTTGGTTTGCCAGTATCCAATTATTTTATGATATGGTTGTCATTATACTTGTATAGCAAAAGTTCTGTTTTTGTGGCTTCCTCACACAATTAGGGTTAGAGGGGAAAAGAACGTGGCTCTAAAAGAGGAGTACTAAGAAATGGGACACTTCTCAGTCCTTCTTTCAAACTAAGTGTAAACTCTATCTTTTTCAAAGAGAATCTTAAGAAGCCAGACTAGGTTGAGCATCGATTTGCAAATGAGTCCCCCAATTTTTCCTTTTTGAGGCACCCACACCCTTCTCAACTAAGAAGTCCCAACACTACTATCTGTTCCTCAGCTGGTAATGCTGAAGTCCCACAAAGGAGATGAAATTGTTCAGTGGCAAATCAGTGGCTTGATTGAGCTCTTTGGCCTTTGAAGAGGAAGCCAGACCTTAATGCAATCTTATTGGGTTGAGAAGAAGGAAAAAAGGGAAGTGAAAAATGAGACACAGGTAGACTGTAAGATCAACAGTTTAAAACATCCATTAAGGCTTGCATATGAACAGAAAGCTGCTGCTGTCAATACATTCAGTGACTGCTTTTTTAACAGAACATATGTGTGTTTATCCAGTAAATATTCATCCCAGGCCTGCAGGTTTGTTAGTATATGTAAAGAAATGCTCAGTTTCGAGCAACTATAAGTGCAAAGAACCAGTACTTTCTTCAAAACTAGTGCAGAGTGGGAGATGTATGAAAAAAATGGTGTCTACTTACTAAATATCACCTGCATACCATCACCTAAGGATAAAATTCTGAAGTTCCAAACCTAAGAACATTCTCAGAGGTCGCTGACATTTTTATCTGCAATTTTGATATAAGCTGGGTTTTCATTAACTTATTAATGTAATTCAATCAAAAGTCATGAAGGCAAAGCAGAAACAAACCACATCTTGCTGTATTGCTGGAGTTCTAATAAATCCCTCAGGCAGACACCCAGTTTTGATTCGTGGCTCCATAAACTCAACACAGTTGCTGCTAGCAGGTGAACAAAAGCACTAATGAGTTCAATAAAAGGAACTTGAGATAGCATAAAATAAAGTAGTTTTTCCCCAACTTCTGCAAGGATCAGAGCCTAAGAGATCAAAGAAATGGCTAAAAGAAAACCACTAACCATAAGAAAAAAAAGACAGTTGTAAAGACAGTTGCTACTCTGAGCACAAAATATTTTATTGCTTCTAACATGAGTTTCATTAATCTGGATGCCAGAGACAGAACTGTGAAGGTGCTTACAAAAACCATTCAACTTACATGGTTTTATAAAGATCTTGGAAGAACCTTACATATACATCCCCTACAGGAAGAATCCGTCCCCTCAGCTCTAATCATATAAATAGACATGCCAAAACAATATTTGGCTATGTGGATTCAAATATAGGATTATATAAAGGAAACAAGACAGACAAATAATGAAAGAAACCCCAAATTAACCCAAACAGATGCCAAGACTTCCAGGGAAAATAAAAGGGAGGTTTAAATTTTCATGCTTTAACTTGTAAGCATGCTTCCAGTTGATATATAAAGAAATTTTCATTATGAGTTGAGACTCTTTTATCAACATTGTAATTATGATGGTCAATATATCTATGTATACACTGCTTGTCCAATCAGGAAAGGCAGATCCCATGTACCTCAAAAGACAACTCTGGTACTGGTGCAGATGAAACCCCATGTTTTCAGAAGGAATGTGTATACTGACATAAACAATTTACTCAGAAGAGGCATTGCCACTCAGAAAATGCAAGTTACAAGCTCAAAGACAATTTTTATATTTGTAAAATATGTCAATTCATTGCAAATCCATTTTTGTTTATATATTCATTTATTAAACGTGAGCCATTTAAGCACTTGCAGCTTAACTGCAAGACAGTGATATGTTTAGATTCATTTTCTCTAATTTTGAAACAAACCCCTATGGTTAGAAGAATTATTGCCAGGTCTGATCTTACAAGTTTTGTATAACTTAATGTTAAAACAAACTATGCAGTCTGGGATATAATTGCAGGGTAAGATCTAATTAGTTCTTCCCAGAGCCTCACCATTAAATATTGTCATCTTATTTGAGAGAGATGAGAAAAATCCCCATTTTACTCCAAGAACATCCTTAAGCACTATTAGAAACTCCTCAAGTGCTATGAACATCTGAAAACATCACGATATTTAAGGTACAGTATTGTCAAGCATGTGCAATCAGTATGCATCTAGATTGTTATTTGTGCAAAAATATGAGGACCTACACTCTGCCGTCATGTGCAAATCCACACTGTCTTCAGTGAGAGTTCTGGGTAATTGCATAGGGCAGAATCTGGCCTGTATTTACTTTCTTCATATTTAAAAGACAAAATGAATGATTAACTAGTCTCTCTTAAAAAAAACACAATTGCAGAATGTTTTAGTAGAAAAATAAACATTTTAAAGTTATTGACAGGTAATATTAGTGCAATTATTTTGACTGCCATCCTTTGACTGCCACACAGTAGATTAAGAAATATATTGTCACTTGTGAAAAGAACCAAAAACATTTTAGAAACAGTAGCTGCCAGAAAAAAAGTGTGCTTAGTGCCTTTTAATGCTCCAGAAAACAGTTCAACGCTTGTAAACCAATTATAGTTCTTTTCATACAAAAATATATCAACTATGTAATTTACAAAAGGCTGAAGAGCTGCTGACTAGAAAGATCATATGTTCATATTTGGCCATATACTAGATGATGATGATATCTGGATCAAATTCGTTCTTTGAAGAACCATTTTTGGTATTCCGAATCAGTACATGGTCGTAGTAGTGGTGCTGGATTACCATTGTAAGAGTTTGACTCTGCCTGTAAACACTTCTGGGTTTGTACATGAAGTAGAGTGCCATCCTACAAAAGATGAAAATAATTTTTATCAGGCTTGCATTTTAAAAGTAATTGAAAGCATTCATAACAAACATGTGTCATGCATAGCCTTATCTTGGGGCTACGCAGTGAATCTAAGTGCTTAACATAAGCCTCTCTGAAACTTTATCAAAGACTTTGCTTTTAAACTTGCACTTATTTCACTTTACAGTCATATGTGTCCTCATATGAGTTTATAAAATATTTGATACCTTTACTCACTTTAATTCCTTTTGTTACTGCATCACATCACATATGAATACAGAAAAACAAAGCTGAAAACGAGCATTAGTTAAATTTACCTCGCTATTGCCTGCTTTTTAAGCAGAATTTAAATGTGGTTAGATAATTGCAGGTGTTGCATATACTTTTAGCAAAGATGCACTTTGTCTTTAGAGGATATATTTTTAGTGGAAAAAGCAAAAAAATCAGCATTAAAAATGAAACATGTCATTACAAAGTCATCATTTTAAATATTTCCTTTTATTCTGTATTGTCACTGTGGGTTTTAGTCTCAACTAGATTCAGTGAAAAGACAGAAGTTTTCAGTTTACTTTGCCATCAATTTCCCAAAGTAAATTCTTTAGAACTTTGTTAAATGATGCCCAAGAACTTGACCATGGCCATAACTTTTCAATTAATCTGCTTTCTCTCATGCATTCAGAAACTCCTCCTGAGACAAAAATCTGCTAAACACAAGGTTTTCTAGGGTCACATTATCTTATTTCTCCTTTTTGGGGACAGGCATTGAAGAAAAGAGGTACAGATTTGTTGACTCCTCATACCAGTATGGTCCGTCCCATCTAGGGCTAGGAGTGAAAAAGATGGAAGGTTTTTTTTGGTAGGGCATCGTTGCACAAGCTGACTGCATTGCAGAAAAGCTCGGATATGCAGAGGTAATTATGAATTCCATGATGTGTAGGTAATGAAGTGCTTTGTGAATGAAATTTTTCTTCCTATATATACACATATATATATATATATATGTGTGTGTGTGTGTGTACATATATATACACATATATTTCCCCCTCACTCTCTTCCCCCCATATCAACCAACCAAAAGCAAAACGGGCACACTTACCTCTCTGAAAATAAACTTCTGATTTTCAGGAATACTGCGAACATTTTCTTCACACAAATGCATAGTCAAATAGTCAGTTCCTGAATCAACTGCTGCACAGGCTTCTGGCTGCCTGGTGTTGTAACGTATTTCATTATGGGATGTATATTCGAAAAACTACAAATCCAAGCGAAGAAACAGGACAAATGTAATTTCATATGTACACAAGAATGCATTCATAAGAAAAAAGGGCTTACTAAACCTACTAATTAATTTTACATATTAAATTTGCTACGGTGGAGAGAAATCCTGTAAAAAATATTCAGAGGCTTTGCTGCTATATGCTTACTGTATTACAAAAAAATAGGAATCTCACCACAGCATTGTTCAACTTTGACAGAACCCCAAATGTATGAAATGCTGAAAAAATGAACTAGAAACAGTGTTCATAGGTCCTCTAGTGTTCAACATGTTCAACATTAGAGGACCTATAAAACTGTAAGATACTACTTTCACATTCTGTATCACCCTAAAAATAGGAGAGAAACCAGTTTATAGAGTGACATTATGCCTTTGGAATTCAGTTGTCACAAAGCAATGTCACTTAATTAATTAAGGAGCTCTTCACTGAATAGTTCAAATGCAGTTTGGTCAAGGTTCATTTCCAACTACAAAATACACAAGATGCATAGTGATGATCATTTCATTATAGGAAGTTTTAAGATATTGTTTAGAGCAAAGCATCTAGAGCTAGTTTGAAAAATCTGAGCAGAACTTTTAACAAACACAGTTTACTGGCCTTGCTGCTTGTACAATATTCTGCAGAGATGTCCTGAACATGCTCTAAAGCATCTTTGCTCCTGGAGCAATTATGGTTGAAGACTTCCTTGAAATTTTTGGAAATCTGCCAAAATTTTGGAGTTCATTAAAGAGAATGGTAAGAGTTTGAGACATGTTTGTATTTAGCACCCTTGTGAATAATTTAATGACTACAGTTCACGGATGTGTGTTTAGAACTGATTCAGATTATACTCAGTGGAAAAGAGTTCTATACACATCAGAAGACTGCTTATTAGCAGCAGCTAATGTATTAATGGAAAGCAATAAAGGGATGGACTTGAGGAACAAAAGAAATTCTTTTGTTTCTCCCCCCAGGAGATGGAGAAAAAAGCGGCAAAAGGTGCTGTACTGATTCTGAACCACTGTGTAAACTGGAAGGAAACACAGGACCATCCTCAACAATCATCAGTTAATCAGCACTGAAAGATAGCCTAGAAATGGAGTTACGAGGTATAACAGGACCATAACATTTTAAAGTTCGCAGCTGTCAAGTTACAGGTGTAAGAACTCTACTATCGATTACACTGATACTGGTGCCTATTCTGCCAGCTTGTAGAGGTTTTTTTGCTTTTCTAGCAATGTAGATCTGCCAGACCTAACCTGTTCACCATCATTCATTCAGCAATGCCAGTCAGCTATCTAAGCCCTGATTTTAAACCTAGGATTTGTGAATAAAGATAAGGCTTCATTTCTGTTCCTTTGTCAGGAGAGACACTGCATCTCAGCATACTTTCTGCTGCTACTTTTATAAGGTGACAGCTTGTTCATTACTGTTTAAAAGTAATTAAAGTTAATTATTTGTAGCTATTTGTACTTGAATATCACTGAAAGCCTGCAAGTTGCTGATTATACCAGATGTATTGAGTAGCTGAAGCAGCTACTAGGATAAAGCATTTATTACTGCTGACATCTTTCTTCAACTGCCTCTTAAAGATGTGGCATCAGATTTGGGAGAAGAAGAGCTAATAAAATGGTTAAATTTTGGATAACATTACAGATCAGAGTTATATTATTAACATCCAAGCACTCACACCTCCTTGCTTAATGAGCATTATACAATTATTTACCATATATTGCTTTAAATGAAATAAGCACTTTGGACTTCAGTCATTTAAAGCTTCAGTAATACATGAGATAATTCCCTTCCTCCTCAAAAGATAAAGATTTTTTTAGCAGCATTCCCTCAACTAAAGACAAAGGCTGCATGGAAAGCACACATTTACAAAATTGATTTGTGGGCCAATATCTAGTGGCCTTATTGCATTTCTTTCTTTCAGAGAGCTGGTAGATTCCCTTAAGTGCCACAGGGAAACATGATGAGGCCCTTTACTAAGCTGCCTACCATTTCTGGGAAACCTGGGATACGCCCCAGCTGCATCAGCACTCTGTGGTGTAAGAGATGGAAGATTTCTGCTACTTCACCAGGCCCTGAAACACTCTCCATATGCCTGGATACAGTGCTCTGCAGATGGAAGAGTTTGCATTTTACAGGCACAAAACGGGTGATATAACCAGCAGCAGTTACAAGGGCTGCCACAGAAAACATGATGGCAAAGACCTCCATTGCCTCTCCCTGCTTGCCTAGAATTTATTAGCCACAGATGCAAAGACCACCATGAACCAATCTCTTCTGTCCTAGTTCCTAGCCTTTTAGTAACCCAAATTGCAAGGCCTTTCCTTCTGGCCTGCCTGGGACAGGTGCTTACACAAAATATTACTGGCCTGAGGTGCAATCAATGTTTTGCTTATTTTCTTCTTTTCTTCCACATATACTCAACTTCTATCCCTACAAATCATATCCTCACTTTTTTCTGTAATGAGCATGGTAATTTTAAACACTCCACAGCTAGTTTCTTACTGCTTACACAAAAGCAATCCAGGGACTAAAGAGAAACCTCTCACTGAGGCTACGGCATTGCACAACTGGATTCAAGTGGACAAAGCAACTATTAACTGTGGACCTTAGACAGTTCTCCAAGAATGGTTTTACTTACTAAGGCATAAAATGGGTGCATGTGCCGGACATCATAAATAATCAAGAGCACAGAGCTCTCTCCTCTTGGCACAGTGCACAGGTATTCAGAGGGCACTTTAGGCAGAGAATTTATTCCAGCGAGGAAGAGCTTTTGGAGTTGTCCCCTGCATAAACAGCCACTCACCTCTGGCATATCATGAAAAAGGAGGGGTGTACTGGAGTGTAAGATACTTATGGCTGACCAAGTTAAGAGGCATTAAAATATCACACTAATTCTCCAAAATATCTTGGAGAATAACTTTAGTGAGCTGTACTCTGGAGAATAAACTTCATTTCCTTATCCTATGAGATAATGGAAATGTGCAGTAGTGAGTACTACTGGAGGAAGAAAGTAATGAATGGTGAAGCAAACATCACAGTTGGAGGGAGAGATGAGGAGGGAAAGACCAGGGGAGAAAAAGTGGGAGGTAGCCAGGAAAGAAGAGACAAAAGGCATGACATGACAGACCAGGCACAGAGAGAAACTGCTGGGATTAATAACTGGGAGGAAAGACGGAGCAGAGCGTTAGAAAAGCAGCCTGGGAGCCAGCTGGCATGGCAGAGAGAGCACTCACTGCATGGAGAGAAGAAAGTAGGGCTGAGACACACAGTGCAGAGACTGATGTAAAATTATGTTATAAGGCTGTACAGGGTAAAGACGTGAGTGACAAGAGCAGATATAAGGAAAACAGGCAGGAAAGGCTGGGGTCAGGATGGCTAATCCCTTTCAAGGATGAAATGGGAGTTAAGAGCTGCCTGTTGTCAGAGAGCATCTTCAAAATTTGGTAATAAAGTGACCTCTTCTTCTGTAGTACTGACATAACTGGAAGCTGACAAACCTGTTGCTGCCATCAGTTCCTAATGGAACTTGTGGTGGACCTGCACAGGGGAGATATGACTGTTTCTGGCCTGCTGTTATCACCTGAACATGGAGTTCAGAAATTCACCGAATTGAGAATGGTCTGTTGCCTTTTAGAAATAGCACCACACGAGGAAGGGAAGCAAATGGAGACATGTTCTGCTAGAAAGTTTCACACCTATTTGTAAACCAGCACACTCACGAATGCTGACTCCCATTTCCCTTCACATCGCATGTGTGCTTCTACATCTACCCTCCTCCAGCCTCCCTGTTCCCACAGCCTCAGCTCCTGTTGATGTCCACTTTTCCTCTTATAGCTACTATGCGTCATTCCCGCTCACTCTCCTTCGCTAACTTTTGGCTTGGCTTCAAAATACCTCCTGTTCTTGCTGCTCACTAGGCCCCAGCACAGAGAGCACTAATTGCATGAGTCGGAGACCATCATGTTCGCAAGCCTGGTGCCTCCTGTCACAGGCACTTCCACGCCTCTCACCAACAGAGGCGCAAGAGAATTAGTATTCAGCAGTGTGATAACTTTGCAGTAGACTAGCAGATAATCTTTTAGTGCTAGCTGAACAAAGAAGAACTGTGAAAATGTCATCTATTAAGAACCTGTTTGAATAGGAATGATACTTCTGATTTCACTTTTTATCCAATGACATATTTTGGGGGGAAGTGGGTGGAAAGGTTAAAATTTAAATGAACTTTCTTGTCACAGACAAAAATATTCTATTTCTTCCCTCTCTGAAATCCATAATGTAATAAAAAGGAACCTAAAAAAGCATGTGTTTATGAGCAGGTAATCCTATAGAAAAGTGTTCTTAATCTAGGAAAGCAACTGTGATAAGAAAGTGGTTAACTAGTCTATCTGATTATTTATATGGAAGTATGCCCACTTTGGGCAGGGAATTGAACTGACGGAGAAAAATGGGTTGAGATGGTGTAGATCAGTGTGCTTGACACACACTTGGCATTTTCAAGTTCATTTGGCTTTAATGATGCATGATGATTCTCCTCCTCTCTCCTTCTGACTTTACTGCCAGGACAGAAATTTTAGGAGAGTTATTTAAAAATCTTATTTAGGTTACTTGATAAACTGAAAAATAGCACTAAATAATAATATTACAAAAAATGATATTTCCACTCCTTAGTGGAACATTTCCACTACTACAATAAACTTGCTGCTAGAAACAAATCTAATCCCTGCTAGATCTGAAACACAGCACATTTTTAAGTAAAAAGCAATTCATGTTATAATACAGGCTTGGTTTTCACTCCTCTAGCCTTTATATCTTTTTAAAAGCAGAGGTGAGTTCAGAAAAGCTGCTGACAAACTGCATGGCTATCACGTGTTGTGCTTTTCTAAAGCTGTTTTTCCTTTTCTAAACAAAAGTTTGGATAAATTTCCAAAAAAAGCAGTCAAGCCACACAGTTATGTACTTAATCTCAACATGACCTCTTATTTCTGTGTCTGAAACAACAAAAAAAGCACACTACATAAGGAAATACATGTCACAATCCACACGTCAAACACCACAATTTGAGAAGATGGCTACTCGAAATCCTGTAACACATATAGTGACTACTGTATATTGACATCTGGTGCCCTATAGCACTTCTACTATGGAAGTACGTACCCAGCTTTATTGGTATCGTAACCTGTTGCACACAGTTTCAATCAGCAAGGAGAAAGATGCCAGCAAATATTTATAGCTTTACTACCTAAAGCCCAGAAAGCCAAAATTAAAGCTTTAGAAAGGATCCATCTTGACCTAGCAGGATATTTATGCAGGACAGACTGCAGGAGAAAGGATCATCCTGAACCTCCCATACAGTCAGCCAAACACCAAGAAGAAAAGCCACAGGCAGATCAGGTGAGGTTTGCAATGTTACTACAGCACCTGGAAATGGACAGAAATGGGCGGCTCTACCGTCCTGTCCAGTTAGCCCTATCACTGCACTGCCACGCTACTAGCCCCTGCCAGCAAGCTCTGTGGAAAGGCATGATTAAGGTTCTTGGGGCTTCCCTGTTATGGGTAGAGATGTGTTCAGAACTAAAAATGCCTGAGTACTAGTATTAAAAGCATCCAGTGGAAGAATCAAATAGAGATCTAGCTGTAAGATCACCTTAACGCAGCAATGCAGTCCTTCAGAGCTAGATGCTTTCTACCATACTTTTTACCATACAAAAATAGCATTAATCAAAATGAAAATAAAAGATGAATCTTACCTGATTTTGTCCCATGCCATGACATGGGTACAATATAACCCTGTGTCCAGTTACTTCATGTTCATTTGGAGGATTATAATCAAAACAGAAGTTCTCCATTCCTCTATTCTTCAGCTAATCAAAACAGAAGAGTGTTTTAAAACACTTAAAGTGCTTTAGTTCTAAAATAAGAAGGATTACACTGCAATCACTTTACATCCATGCTACTAGACTGTGATATTTGTATCTCAGAGCTAGAAGAAGCAGTTTGAATGAATTACAATGGGGATTAATTAAAAAGGCAGCAAATAAACCAAAACTGTCATGATGGCCCCAACTGAGGACACTGAACCAGCCAAACTTGATGGGTTCCCCTAGGAATGTGAGCAAAGCAGGTAGGAGCTATGAAAAGCTATGCTGAAATGCAGCAAGTCTTCTGCAAAGTGAGAGGTGCATTTTATGCCATGTCTTTTATTCTCTGCACCTCTCATTTCAATTTTCTTTTTTTTCCTTCTCTCCTTCAAACGAGATATAGAAAGGATTTACTCTCTAAAGGACTCCAGGTCCTCTCTGAAGGTTGACAAGCAGTCAGATGTTAAGACCAGAGATAAATCCTGAAAATGGATGATGATTCTCTTTTAAATGAGATACTATATATTTTAACATGGTAACTTACATTATTTCAGTCATGTTTATTAATAAGAATGTGCATTTTCTAAGCATGTAGAAGTCAGAAGTAAACAAAAATAAGGTGAACAATCTGGTAATAATTAGAGAAGCTTAATATCAACTATGTAACCAAATTTTAAATTACATGGAGCAAAACAGGTCTGTAAACACATTCAGCCTTAATGCTCCCTGAATCGAACTGTATCACACACTAAAAGAATAAACCAGGTCAATCTCAGTAGAGTTACTTAAGCAAAGTAATTACCTCTCTTCAGCTAGTATTGAGAATTATATCCTCAGTTCTTCATGTAGAGAATAAATGGACATGAAGGAATTAATTACAAAAGGAGAAAACAAACAGATGGGAGCAAAGTCCTGTCTCCTCAAACAATGAAGTTCTGTCCTAACCAGCTTTGCCATTTAATTCCTTCCGACCCTGTTTTCACTGTGCATTTGCAGGAACTTTTTCAGTAAAGTAAATATCAAAATCTGGGGGAATTCATTTCATTTTTTGTGTTCCAGTTTACCAGAAATAAAAGAAATCCTCTGGACACTATATACTCTATACACTCATTTCACTAACATTCTTGACACTCATTATACTAACATACACTTCTCCTGTTTAAACTGTGACAGGAACACATTTTGTTTACCTTCGTAATACCAGTGAAGAATCACATACAAAAAATAAGAAAGCAAGCATCTTCTATGGATACTTTTAAACATACACCATAGGATTACATAAACAAAACAAAAAAAATCTCATAGTTTCCACATTCTGCATATAGAAATGTCAACCCGAAGCCATACCAACTTAAAAATGGATTTTTTTGGTGGTATGTGCAGACCTATTCCTAAACATATATGGTCCCTGTTTCAGCGGGGCTGTCTTAGTTTGTCATATCAGACATTTGTAGATGCTTTTTTATATGCACACACATGACTAGCAAGCCTAACAGATGCTGAAGATCTCTTTTGTGGAGATACTCAAGTACTAATCAGATAAATGATCTGGACTGAGATGAAAGGATTTAAATCAATATCACAATCCGATCTCAATACCTCAATATGCATAAAATCACCTGTCACCTCTTCCAAGACAGAAAAAAAAAAAGGTATGAAAGAATTTGTTAAAGCAATATTTTCTTCCTGTTAAATGAGGGTAGACAATTTAAGTTCCTTATACTTACAAAACATTACCAAAATAACAATAAACCATTCACGTCTGAAGATATCTTTCTTGCAATATCTACCATAAACAAGACACACAATAAAGAACACATTTTCTCTATGACTTACCTTCCTTTTTTTTCTGAATGCTGCATTAGAGAAACAGAAACAAGAAAAATTTTGATCACTTTGTCATTAAAATACACTGTAATGATATACACTTTCTAAAAAGTGATGGAAGAGCCCCTAAATTGCATTTTATGCATATTTTCCTGTGGTGGGCATCAGATCTCAAGATCTAGTCAGCAATAATCTTAGGTACCAATCTAATCTCAAGTGGTAGTTCTACAAATTCTATTATAATAAAGTTGTAAAGGTTCTTCTACCCTAGAGGAGAATCTTTTGGAGTCTGATACCTCTGAGAAGTTTTAATATTGCACATGCAATAGCCTTTTTAACTATATGTCCTTAGCCACATAACTAAGGTCTCTTTGTACGTATGCCTCTCCATAATACCATATTAACTAAGTAATTTATAAAATGATTCCTTTCACGTCTTAGCAGAACAAAACTCTTCATATCTTTAAAGGCAGGAACCATCTTTTTTATTCTGCCCCATCCCTGTTCCCTCCCCCCCAGTTTTTTCTTTTTGGAAGGTTATATCAGGCCTGAATTAAAACCCAAAGACTGGGTTTTAAGACTGAGCATTTGGAAACTCCTTTAGGATGAGATGGCCTTGGGAAAAAACAATGAAGGAAGCTGCTATCTGAAAAACTCAAGTTTTTCATCTCCTGACTGATTTAGTCAATCACAGAAGCCTTTAACGATAGGTGGTGAAAAGATCTAATGGTCTATCAGCTTGGTTTTTCACATCAATGTGGTACATCAGCTAGAAATTGCCTGAGAAGAAAACCTCCCATATCGGAACATAATACGGTGAACATAATATGCTCTCAAGTGATCAAACTTACAGAAAAGCCCTCATTTTTGTGTCTATGGTGTCATTTAAAAGCAATTTTGATACAAGTTCAAAGACAAATTTTTTGACTGACCAGAATCACTATCCTCAGATGCATACCCTGAAGGCCAGCTGTACTTAATACACCTTAGAAAAGAATGCTGAATATTCCCCTGCTTTACAACCATGCATTTCTACATCCACCAACAACATGCAAAGATCATAGCACTGCCTGATTCCTCTATGTTTACGTACTTTCACAATGCCACAATGTCACAATATTATTATTACGGCTCCAGGTCCACCAAATGCATGGAACAAAGCCACTAGAGCCAACCTAGTGTTAATTAATAGAACATGAAATCAGTCCCTCTCTATTTTCTTGATGACTTTTAGAATTAGGAGAATCCAAGTAATGAGCATGATGTCATTGCCAAGGTACTCTGTGTTACACTAATCTTTTTTGTTTTGTTTTCACTGTTCTCCAAATACCTAACTATAATTCCATAAATCTGTCTTTTGAAATTTAACATGGGAAACTGCTATTTCTACTTCTTCTTCCCTTGTCATTCTTTGTATTGCCATCATCTGACACTGGCAGCTTCACAGCTATTGAATTCTCTCACCACTTCTAGGGCAGCTCCTCTCTCACTCTGGTTCTATTTTGTCTTTCTGAGAACAAACCAGTACCACACCAACAGCATCACAACCATTTTTGTTTCAGACCTTCCATGCATATTGGCATACCTATCATTTTGAAAAGCTGGATAATGCTTCTTTTCACTGCTTTACAGATGTTAAGACACAGAGGACATTTGACTATTTGGTTCATCACATTGCACAAAAGAACAGAAGAGTTTGTGTCCTTTTTTCCTGTTGTTCCACATTTCTGGTATCTCCTGTTGAGGATTTTCTACTTCCTCTTTCTTTTGGAAGCTTTTTGCTGATACTCAAACTGCTGACACTTGCTTTCAATATCCCAAAGGAACTCTGTTTAATAGTTTCTCCTTGACCTCATACTCATTCTTTTGAACTGTAATTAATCCAAACCTCACCAGGGTGCCCTTTACCAGACATCTCGGATGCACCATAAAACATGTTTTAAAACTGGGTTTATCAGTTTTCACCATTATGATTCCAACACACTAAACGACATACAAGTTTCATTTGCCTTAAAATGTAACTTCTGTTCCTTTTCCTCAAGAAAAGAAGAAAAAAATATGTAAATTCAAGTCAAAATAGACACTGCTTGTATAGCTGTCCAAAGCGCTGTATGGCTTTAAAAAAGGCATGTGCCTTTACTAAAGGCCAAGGGAGGAGACAGAGCATGCCTGTGCTTCTGCGCAGTCAGCTGAGGTGCTCCGAGGTGAGAACGCCCATTCAGGGTGCAACCTGCTCTACCTGATGCATACTGAGCACAGATGTGTTTCTAAACAGACATCTGATTCACAAGCCACTCACGAGATCCCTTCAAACGCAGGGAGACACCTAACACAGGAGACACCTAACACAGAAAGTGCGGGATGCCTTTTGTACAGATTTACTTCCCACTTCACACCAAGCAGCACAGGATAGAGCAGTGCAGGACAGGGGCTCTGCCTCAGATGCTCAAGTTTGTCTATTAGACATACAAACGTTGCAGTTTCTATCTAATGTTATTTGTCTTCTGCTCTTACGTGAGAAAAGCTGATTGAATTTTCTATCTCCTAGACCTGTTTAAGCATGCCTCAAAATTTCTCAAATACAGAATATTAGAAATAGAAATATTAATAGTACCATTTATCAAAGTATGGTTCAGATGACAGATTGAAATTAGCATTGAGAAATTCCATATTTCCAGTTGCTAAATTATTTTGGTATAAAATACACTAGTCTTGCTAGTAAAAAAGATAACATCACCTCCCTCATTTCTAGGCCTCTGTCAGTTTACAAAAATGCAATCTTAGCTCAGACAAAAATATTCAAATCCCTCTATGTTCTATGCTACTAATATTTTTAGTAAACCAAGTTTAATATATGTATTAAAATCTATCTATGTACCTAGAAAAAGTGTTAGCACAAGTATTTCTCAGTGCATAATACTCAATTCTACTCAATAATTTCTTACACTTATTTCAGTAACTTATTGTTGACCTATGGGCAATTTTTAGACAGATTTTCAATTTCAGTGTAAAGATGTTCAAGGGAAGTAGAAATTCCCTAACAACCTCTTTCAACCTCATACTAAGCAGTGCTGCTAACAAAGCCAACACTTCTGAGCACTGTATTTTTATGAACTTAAAAGCTCTGCACTGCTAATGCAAGAGTTAAGAGCAAGATCAATGATTCATTGATGTTGGCAGATGGTACTCAATATCCACAAATCAGTAGGTGTCATTTTTGCACTGTCACTTTCTTAGAGTATAACTGTATTCTAATCACATTTTAAATTCTTCCTACCAAAAAAAATGGTGTATTCTCTTTATGTTCACAACTAGATGACAGCATCTAAGAATTATTTATAGATAAATATATACAGAAATTACGTAAATTACACTGTAGATAATTCAAGCAGCTCTGAACAAGAAATATTATTTCTAGGTATTGTCAATACCTTTCTTGAGAATGACACATGCTGCTAACCTTGAAAGAAACTACACAAATCTCTTCCCCTCCCCAAAATGTTGAAACTCTACTACCTACTAACTCTACTCTACTACGAGCACAGCCTAGGTTTTATTTTGCAGGATGAAGGACAAGGATGGAGAGGAAAGTGAAGTTACTAAAATGCTCTTCAAATCTTATTACTTCTATTCTCTGCCTTTCTCAGTTAGCAATCTAGCACAGAAGCAATGCGGTACCACAGCCTATACCTGTGATAACATGAAGGTACCTGTTTAAGCGACAGCTCAAAGAAAAATGGAACAGGGTGGCATCTTACAGGTTCATAAGGGCTTTGCTGTCCCACTGCTGACTGATGCATTTCCCTATGAGAAATACAACTTAGAGAAACTGCAGCATTTTCATCTTAGGATTTTTTGTTAGTGTTGTTGTTCAGTACACAATGGAGTTATTAGGAAAGGCTGTGAGGAAATCTGGGTTACTGTATGTGTTACAATGCCCAATTTTTTTGTTTGTTTGCCTGCTTTGTTTTTCTCTCCTCTAAAAATCGATCCAGTAGAGTGATTGTGCAACTAACGTGCAGATGACAGCAAGACCAGACTGTTGTGATCTTGTTTGGATGAGATGAATAACTACTCATGTTGGAATCTAGCTTCAGGATGATTGAGCTACCAACTAAAGCATTTAAAAGTCAACGTTGCGTTTGTTGGAAGGTATCTCATACATCTGTCTGGCAAGAAGGGGCAGTCTTTCTAGTACAGACAGAGCAGACAGGTGCTCATCCCTTCTAAAACAGATTATAGTAATGTGATGTGCATAGGACTACAGCTTATATTTATTTATAAGCTGCAAACACTATAGAAAGTTGTCCTCTCAAAAAGGGAGAAAGGACTCTCAGATTGAACCCATGAAAATTGCTTATGATTCTGCTCTAGTCAAAAGAGATTTCCAGATTAAACATCAAGGTGTTAGTTTTGAGATACACATTAAAAAAAAAGGGGAATGTTTAGGGGCAGCCTTCTTTCCTGCATAGTTTTCTTCTGAGAAAATGTGCAAATACTTGTTACAAAACTGATTTCACCACCATATTAGGTATGTCTTGATCATCCTTCCTGGTGGATTAGCCAGGGAGTTCAGAGAGCCACAAGGAGGCTCCTTGCTGGGCCACATACCATCCCAAAAAATCCAGGTCTGTCCTCAGGTACATGAAGCTCGGGGTACACATTCTCCAAAAACCATTTGAAGTCCTTACACTTGAGCTTCTCTCGAAGGAGTCTCCTTTCTGTCACATCTCCATATGGTTCCTGGAAGAGGGGAAAAAAAAAAAAAAAAGAACAGATGCTCCCTTCTAAATTATTTATACACATTATTAGGGACTTTACACTAAAGTGCTTAACTGAAACGTACTACTTTTAACCAGAAACTATTCCCACTTTCAGGTGTTGGATTTGATTTCAATATCCTTACATTTGCTCAATGTTGAAAATATATATATATATATACACACATACACACACACATTAATATATATTCAGGCAATCTTCCTGAAGATCATTACCAAGCTGGTTAGATAAAAGTGTACACGCACTGAACCTTACTGATTAGCTTTAGCTATCTTTCTGTTCTGTAATTCTTTACCGACAGAATCCTGTATCACCTGTTTCATTCTTTTCCTGCTAGGCATTTCACATTAAACAGCTCTTCATTCCTCGGGCCACCTTGCTTAAAAGTTTTTTTGTTTGGCTTGGTTTTTGTGGGGTTTTTTGTTATTTTTGTTGTACTTGTTTTTTAATATGGCAAAAAAATTTGGCCTTTCCCGGTCATAAAAAAAAAATCTGATTATCCCAATTAAAAAATTAAATATACATTTTTTTATGATTGGGAAAAAAAAACATAAAAAATCCCCACAAAAAGTCATTCGCGTTGAAAGCTAGTTGAGTTATTTCTTTGAAAACAAACTCTACTATAATTCTAAGTTTGATGTACTTCAAACTTACCAGGCGAGCATTTGGATTTCGATGGTAATAAAGTTCTTTATATTCATCCATCCATACTTCAGCTGCACGTACACTGTTTGCCAAAGCCTTGGCCCGTGAGTAAGGAGCTTGTTTGGGGAAAACATGCCCTACATGAGAACAGGGGTGGATCTCAAGACTTCCTCCACATTGCCATATCTAAACAAAGAATTCACATTTTGCATAGTTACTGCCAATCTCTGCAAGCAGAAGTAAACAATCAAGCTTGGCCAGGTAATACCTGCTCAGGAATATCACAGCATATTATAAGTGATGCAGAACAGTTTTGTGAGATAAGGCAAATAATTGCATCATTCTATAAATAAACTGGGCTAAATGACCACCCTATGACCTCAGAGCACATGTTTGAGAGCAATAAGAAGATATCCCTATTTTTGGTTTTATCAGGTGTGCAGTTATACTTATTTTAGCTTCACTTTCTCTGAAGGCATGACGATAATGTTCCACAATATTTCTGCACGCTGAAAAGTAGTCTACAATTCAAGCTATGTAAGTATTATTCACCAAAGTGCTATTTTGTGGTCCAACAGCAATCACACCAATAGCCTCCTTGACTGATTTCTCACCAGAAACCTGCTCTTTCTTTGCTTATATTTTGCTGGAAAGCTGAGCTGGTAAAACTTGCAATCTTGTCATATTATCAGAAAGCCATTAATTGTTTTGACATTTCCACATATATAATTTCAGAGAAGAGGTATGGGTACCTGGCCTGGTCATAAAATACTACCACAACTGAGCTATTTTATTGCAAAGCTTGAAAAGGAGCCGAAGACACACACACAAAAAAGCACACTAAATAATTATTTGACTGACACTTGGTGGTCTGATAAATATTATCGAAATAAACTCTCCTATCCAAACGAGGAATAACACAGACTTTCTGTAGAACTTTTTTGCAAAATAGCATCCCCAGGAGCTAATTCCCCTCTTGGATCCAGCTGTGCACACTGGGCAGCTCATCCTTCCTCTGCAAATGGAAAACCAGAGAAAATAAATGCCTAAGATATATTTAAAGGTGTGAGAGGTTTGCTCTTTAATGACTCTCTTGTGTAATGCATACATTTTTAATTACTTGTTATTAAAACAGACACAGCAGGAGCAAAAGCTGAAAGGCCGAAGAAAGAATTTCTGCTTTTAACAGTGACAACAGATCAGGGTTCCTCTCCTTGGACTGCCTGGGATTCAGAAAGTCACTAGAGACTAAAACTTTTAAGCATGTACAAGACGAACACTGCCTTCAGCCTGCTGTTTTAAAATAATTATTTCCATATTTCTGTCAAATTTATTAACTTCCATATCACTGAATATTGTCTATGTTCTATTCATTTGATTTTAGATAATGATGCTATAAGGATGGGATATATTTATGAAAGGCAAAAGACTACATGAGAAAATTGGAGAAAAGTTTTAAGATAAAATTCAGACTCTAATACATATGTTTATTTTTAAAATGACTAACTTTCTTAAAGGTATGGGTAATTCATTACTTGACTACAGGGAACACTGGATAATCCTCATTTCTTAGATTTAAAATTTTAAATTTCCTGATTTTCACAGTAGGTTTATTTGTTCTTTTTCTTTTCTGAGGAAGCAGCACATTTTTATCTTTTTAATAGAAGAATGATTAAAGAAATCATTAATGATTCTTTCCTTAAATTCTGAATTCTATAATGTTATTTTAAATGATTATCATGTTTTCAAATGTAAATTACACTACTGCCATATTGAAAGCTGCTATGAAACCACTTATCGAATTTCATTTTCAGATCTTCTTCGCTGAGGTTTATTTCAAAACAATAGCTTTATGTCATTCTTTTTATATAAAAGATTATCTTTTAAAAATTACAATTTATCAGGCATGATTTGTCAGTAAATATTGAGCTCTATTAAAATTTACTAAGGCATATCAATTTTCCTGTTTTTTCTATCACATATAAGCATATTTTTGTGATCATTGTGATGATTATTGCTTTCAATGTTATTATTATTATTATTTTTATTTTTAAACAAGAAGATACGAAGACTGGACCATAAAGACCACTGAGGTGTAAATGTAGTTAAGAAACACGTTCTTTAATTTTTCTGTGATAAAGTCCCAGTTAACAGGAGTAAAACAGACGGGCTAATAGTTCTGTTTAAATAAATAAAAATAAGTTACATGTAAAAATAAGTTACACAATTACTAAACTTTAAATAGTAAAATTCTGAATAGCTCTAAAAACTAACTGAAAGCTAATAACTACTGCTTATTATATTCTACTGCCTTCGATATACACAAAGTTCTCTTCCCTTACTATTACAAAAAAAGAATAGTTTTCAGCCAAACAATTCCTCAATAGATTTAATTTAATATGGAAAACATATTTTGAATTTGATATAAAATCACACTAAAGTAAATAACTAAAACAGACAAAAAATTGCAACATGAAAACACAAATTGATTATGAAATGCTAAATAAGTAACTTTGGGAAATGTTCTCCCCTCAAACTAATTCCAATTCCTGTAAGAGCAATTCATATTTTGCAAACTTACATGCAGGCAAATATGTTTCTTTACTATGTCTGGCTAGCTCAAATACTGTCAGTATAAAGGTGTTGTTTTGAACACATCAACAAAAAAAAAGCTAACACTGACCCTTGTACCTTGAACAAAAGGATACGTGTAGACTGTGAATATTTTTCAGACATAGATGCTTGTGTTATGAAAAAATTTAAGTGTGTAGTGCTCCACTTGGAAGCCCTGCACCTGCAAGAATCTTTGCGCGATGAACCTAATAGATGGGTCAGTGAAAGGTAAACAAAAAAGTAAACCTGTTGTCAAAAACTAAGGTTTTGATACAGCCTCCAGTATAACATTTTATTCAACTAGGAAAAAAAAAAAAAAAAAAGAAAAAAGCAAACTCCTGGACTACGGCAAGCAAAGCTGGGGAAACAGGCACACCCTCTTTTTTTTTCTTTTCTTCCCCCCTCTCATTTCCTTCTGTTGTGCTTTCATTCTTCCTATTTTACACCTGTGCACCAATGATAGTACTTGAGCACCCTCTGCTGGGAAGCAGAGAGGAAAGGTGCTCAAAAAAACCCTAAAACTGTCACGAGTTACATAAATCACCCCCAGAGTATTCCATCTGTAAGAGAAATTTCTAGATCCAGACAGGAAGAACCAACAAAAAATAAATAAAAAATGAGAAACCCCAAGCAGATAGAGATGAATCATCCAGGAGCGTGGACAAGGAAACTTCAAATGAAAGAAAGGAATTTTCATAAAGTAAGACTGTCTCTTTGAGTATGGGTATTTCCTCTCCTGCTATGATGACAAGCTAAAGGACAGACAGCAGAGCATCCATCCCCAGGGACAAACTTACATTACAGTGCCACTAATGGGACCCACAGCAGAGTCAGGGAAAAAAGCTGCAACTGGGTTACTCTGTCTTGACAGAGAGCAGAGAGAACATAAAAAGGCATCATTCTGCAACCCTTAAAAAGAGGCATTTCAATGCTCATTATCCATGAAGTGAAATTTTTCTAGCCAAATCCCAAGTCACATTGATCTGATGCTGCATTCAGAACACAGCTTCAATCTCTCTTTGCCGTAATGCTTTTAGCCAGAGCTTTGTCCTTGTTGCACCTTTTGAAACCTCAGAGAATTTCTGCAGTTCAGAGCAAACAAAGCACAAGAAAGTGGAGACCCAAGAACAAATCTTTTCGTGTCAATGGAAGGGTAATGATTTCAAAGCAAGAACAGCAATGAATTAATTTACAGTGAGTTTCAAGTACCCCTGCTCCTAATTTTCAGTTCTGGCAGGTCTAGAAACCAGAGACACATCAGAATTAACACTAATTTATACCTCCTTGACCTTCTGCAGCGCTACAATCATCAAGTGCAGTAAAACAACATCCTTACTTTCCACAAGAATATTCACCACAGGAGGTACAAATAAAAGGAGTTGAAAACATGCCATGGACTGTTTGGCTCCAAGTGCCCCAACCCTGCTAGCTATGTCTGCATGAGTAGAATTACTGAGCTTTGGCATATTCCTCCCCCTTCGACCAGCAGCCACTGCAGAAGCCAGCAGGCAAAACCTCCCTCTAAGGCCCTCTCCCGATGCTGTCCCCAGTGAGCTAGCCCTGAACGCTGTTCACAGGCCTGCTAACTTCTCACTGAGGCGTCCCTCTGCCCCGTCCTCAGCCTGGGCACAACCTGCGAACACCTGGTCTGCCCATGAGCACAACAGCAGTCACAAAGTCTGTGTGCCACAGTCCTTCTCAGGGGATGCTCACATACAACACGCTTGCTGCTGCCGTGCCACACACACAGGGAAGGCAGTGTCTTGATCTCTGGTGGAGCTTGTTGCTAAGCTCACAGTCTCCAGCCTCTACTTAGTTTCTGCTGCAACAGTGTTCTAGCTGAGGAAATAACAGATGCAGAGCTCATGGACATTGCCCCGGCCCCCTCAGATGCCTTGCTACCTAAAGACCAGGCCTTCCCTATCCCAAGACGCGCAGTGAAGGTCTGAGCAGAGACGCTCTCCCTCACATCTCCAGTGTGCGCCCTGGCCTTTCCCAGACAGCTGTACACTGACAACCTCCTACACCAAACTCAACTTCTCCAGGTTAAACTTCATCTGGATTATGACTGACAGAGGACCCCACACCCATGAGCGGAAAGGCAGCCTCTTCACAAGCGGTGACAAGCACCACCATGTCATTGGGGCCTCAGTAACAAATCCTCCATCCCTGGCTGCATCTCTGTGAGAAGCCTTGTGAAAGGAGGCATAAAAATCATTTCCACAGAGAGATATTTCATAGGTCCTGATACTGTGACTGAGTAATTATCCCAAAGAACAAGGGAAACAAAACTGTTATAGTGGGAAGGAGGAGACCTTAGCAACATGCATATTAAAGTGCACTACACCAGAACTGGAGGAAGCAAGCTGGAAGACTTCTGCCTCAGACTTGCAAACCTGGTGAAAGCAGGTAAGCCGTGTGGGAGCTGCCACAGAGGCCAGTCAAATTCACTTGTCACAACAAATAGGCACTGTGCTTGGACTTACATGCCACAGGAATTTTTCTTTATGTGAAAATGAGTCACGACAGATCAAAGAGCTATCACAGCTCTGAAAAGTCCCTCAAATATGAAGCACTGCTTTTCTGTATGTGATGATTATCATCCTCCCCATTTCTTCTCCTTCCTTATTCTCGTGACTTCCTTGCTCGCTTCTCTGCACTACAGAGCAGAAGATAGGAGCAACGGGGTCTCCACGCTGCCTCAGTCAACTGCCACACATCTGAAGTGAGGCAATCTGCCGAGGCTGCCTTTCCCTCCTACAACCTAAAGACATACAAAAATACTAATATGACCATAAAACACATCTGATGACTAGCAGAAAAAGAGAAAAGGTAATTTCAGGATATTAAGTTATAAGCTCCCTGCCAAAATGTCATTACAGGATATTTTTCCTACAAGCAGATTCCTTCAGCAAGCTAAGAGTGATTTGGGACACACCGATAGAAAAAAAAACAAGACAAGACCTTTCTGCTTATCAGTCTAAGTTGTCTCATATCTTCTCTCTCCTTCTCTATCGTACATCTTTTCATTCCAGGACAACAACCTACCTGCTTCACATCTGAACGCCAGCTCACCCCTTGCAGGAAGGAACTTCACAGTTCTGGAGGCTTTTCTACCACATTTTTTAATCTCTATACAAACCTTTCCTGACAGAATAAAATCTTAAAGTAGCATAGGTTGACCTTTCTTATCCCACTGATAACTTCTATCACCTTCCTCATTTCACTCTGTCAGCTGCTCCAGAGTTATGTTGCTTTTCAGCTATCACCTCCAAGCCACAAAATCTGATCATATTTTACACTAGCATTCAGAAAAAAAAGAAAAGTTTTTAAAAGGCATTTTAAAGGTAAACATACTGAAGTGTAAAAGCAATGAAGAGATTTATATGCGCGCGTCGCCATGAATATTTCCTATTTTTTACTTGCTTATAATAAAATTAGTTCGTTAATTAAAAGAGATTAAGAAACAAATAAGATTTTTCTTTATTCTCAGGGGAAAAAAAAAAAATCAAGGAAGCCACTTACCCTAAATGAGAATTCCAGATTTTCTCCACCCCAGACTTCCATTCCTGTGTCATATGAACCAAGATAGTCAAAATATTTCTTGCTAACAGCAAACAATCCACCTGCCATGGTTGGAGATCTATAAAAAAGAACAGTAATTCTGAATGGAATAAAAAGGCAAAAATATACACATGAATTAAAGCAACTATGCAATAAACAAAAAAAATTGGCCTTTTTATTTAACTGTTTTCTTATTTCTTTTCTGGATACAAAGTAAGTGTCAGCCACTGATCAATTAAGTGTTGTATTTTGCGGCCATTTATTTTTATTGTGTAGTAAAAAAATTGTTTCCAAAAAGAGCTCCACAATGTATTAAAACAGTAATGAAATCAGAGAAGTTAAGGATTTTTTTTCAATTACGATGTCTTTGTGACTGGTAATAAATGAAGAAACTACCCCTGAACTTCAAGTAACACAACATAAACTTTTTTTTTTTTATGGTAGAATTACTTTAGTCAGGTCTGAAATTTATTCACAGTTTCCTTGTATATTTTACTTGAGTAGTAAGTAATATCTTTGTGCTTTATTAATAACAACATTCCTCATCCTACCACTACAAGTTGAATAAAAGAATCTCTTGGACATTAGTTGAGCTGAATTCAGTAACTCTGGTCCCTAAAGAGATTTTCTTTTTAGAAATATCTGCTGTCTGTATTTTTGTTTTAATTGTTGACCAGATTTGAAAAAAAAAAGGGGGGGAAGGGTTGAAAATCTGAACCATATCAAACAGGCATTATCAAAGATCACAAGGCCAAAATTGACAGCATAGTTAAGGAATATACTTTCAGAATATATTCAGCAGAGTAGTGTGTGTATGCATACATAAAACAGAATTTGTTCAGTTTTGCTCCTAATTGCTTTCAGTCTTAGAAACTACTTTCTTTAAAGTGCTAAGTATATAATGCTGGATGGAACTAAATTCATATGACATTCCATTAATTTTGTTAATGAAAACTAGTAAGGGTTAAGTCTGCGAACAGTTATTCTTAATCTGTTTAAAATAATTTTAACAGCAATCTCTTTGAAACAAATCTATCTTACACTAGCACATGTTGTTTCAAAAGATGGGAGGAGATGAGGTGAGACATAAAAGAAAAAACAAACTTCATAAACATTGAAGCTCTTCTGTCTCACTCCAGATGTAGTCTCCAAAGAACAGCTGTCAGCTCTATCACTCTCTCTGCTCATCACTCCTGCCTTCCCCAGATAACCATAACACTTGCCAAGCTCAAGGTCCTCAGCCCACGTTGCAGCCTTATCTCTCAGCATTTTCTCCTTGGGAGTCCAAAATCAATTCCTTCTTATTTGCACAGAAGAAAAACAAAACTTTTAGCTGTAGGCTTTTAAAAAATGTAATCTATTCTTAAACATTTTGAGGATGCTAACTAATATATGCTGAGAAGCACTGAATTACTGCCTCTTTTTTCCCAGTAGAAAGCAGGTTATTGTCCATCAATTGAGGATAAATTCATTAATATTTGTGAAGTCCTGGATATTACCATTCAAAGCAGCCTAGAAAAGGCTAATGAACCATTCTGTATTTGTGTCGGGCTTTAAGATGATAGATTATAAATAAAAGCAAGGCCTAATAAAATGGCACTGTTAAAAATACCAGACAGCTGCTTCATTTCATACAACACTGCTGAACTACAGCAGCTTCCAAGTTGAGTGAAGTAGGCCCTCAGCTCCCAAGATCTTATCTGCAGTGTCCATTTTTGAGACTCCCTTTGCTTCTCCTAAAAATACATTATGGTTTGGCGAATAATACCTAGCCATTGTATCTTTTCTTACAATAAAAGAAAATTAAAACCCACTACAGAGACAGTTGCATGAGCTCCCAAGAGATAGTGGGGTGGGCAGAGTTGTATCACTTCATCCCAAGATAAAAAACTGGCCAACTTGGTTTACTTCTGAAAATAAAGCAAGGCAACAACACAGACAAAACCTTCAAAATTACTTCTACTGTCTTACTGGTTTGTTTATTTTTCTTTTTTTTTCCACTGTTGATTATGAAACTTTTTATGCAATGTGGGGTCCATTGCTTTGCACAAAGAACATCCTTTAGTCTTAGTTGATCAGTTACAGTTTTCCTCATGTTAATAAACACCAGTGGAATTTGTGCTGAAGTCAAACGTTTACTTATGGAATAAGGATTTCACAGTAAAGACCACAGAGGAATTCCAGTATTTGGAGTGAATTTTCTTCCAGTAACATAGTGACCAGGAGCTACCCTGAAGAAGGTGAACTAAGCAAAACACAGAATCTCAATGCAATCTACAAGCAGTCATTTCTTGAGTATCTTTCAGCATCTGCAATTTCCATTTGAAGTAAAAAACACTTACAACATTCACAGTCTAAAATCTAGAGGTATAAAAATTCACCTGATCACATCAGTCTTAGACTTCCTTCGTTTTTGCTCTCTGTCAGGGGTTACATGCCAAGTGAAGACGAGTCTCCAGTCAAATCCTCCAATCTGTGGCTCCCCAGCATTTCCCAAGTACTCAAACGTATTCCAGTCAATAACATCAATAACAGGACAGACGACAGCTGTCTCCTCCTCTCCGATTCTAATTGGTTTGTAAAAGAAAAAAGAGACTTCTTTTAGATCCACCTCTTAAAAAGAAGGAGCAAGAAGAACAGAGAATCCTTACAAACATAAACTTTTGGTGCTTTTCAACTCCTGGTTCAACACAAGGAAAGCACAGCTTCAAGAACAGCCAGCGAATTTTCACGAGGGGCGCATCAAAAGGATGCATCAAGATGGACTCAAACATAGGCATCTGGCAAGTATCATTCTTCTGGGACAGTGGGAGAGAGGTAGGCCAGATTTCTTCAAACATGTTCTGTCATTCAGCATATTTCATGGCTGTGTATAAAGCACAATATTCTGAGCAAACAATTCTGTTTTACTTTGTACAGGTGGCTGCCTTACAGATGTTATGAGAGCAATGACACAGTTGCTGACTGAAGTGGAATTCCAGATCTCCCTCCTCAGAGATGAAACTGCGGCATATTTCAGCATGACTATCAATCTGCCAGATTGAAGATTGGGCCTTAAGGTCACGGTTGTTCTTGCAAATGCAATCACCTTCAAAAAGCTACACTGAATACTACAGCAGTAACTTGGAAAGATATCATGAGTTTAAACAAAAACAAACAAACAAACAAAAAGTTCCTGCATGGGAATTAAATCTGATAGTGAGGCCTTAAGAAACTCCAACGCAAAAAGGACAAACAAGACAATGCTGGAGGCTCATATAAAGATAATCATTAGTGCTAAGAATATGTCACAGCTGATCTCTACTTTTGCAAGGAGACAAACTCCTCTTTTTTCCCCCATTTCTCAATACCATGCAGGGTTTTCTGGATTCCTCCCTAACAGCATTTCTGCATTTGCGCTTCAAAGTCTGTGGGAGCTTTTGTCATTGCTTCAGCTTCTGGAAAGGTTCTCAGTACTGGAAGAGATCAAGCTCAAGGCATGCAAACACAACATTAAACTTCTCTCCCATAAATCATTAGTAAACTTCTCTACGCTAGCCTTTGTCACTGAGCTAACAGAACAGACTGAAGTGGCTCGTCCAACATTAAGGTGCTGGAACTTGTCTTAGCCTTGCATTTTCTGATCTGCGCATTTTAAACCAGAAAAAGAAAAAAAAAGTTATTATCAAACAAGGAAGATGCATCTATTATTAAAGGGGTATTAGTCACTCACAGGATTATTAAGGTTAAAATGTACAGGCTGAACAAGGGGTTCTGACTCAGTTAAGCTAAATTCACAGAAATTACAGAGTTTGTAGTGGTTAAATGCAGAGAACAAAGGTGTTCCCAAAGCAACACCTTCTGAGTTGAGGAAGACTGGGTGACGTACAAAAGGCCACAGGGAACACAGGACAAAGCAAAGAAAAACTTTCTCCTACTTTCCTTTGAAACCTGGTTTGGTATGTGCACAGGAGGGCTTATACAAATTTTGCTCTCTACAGTCTCACCTGCATATTGCTTTTGTACGAAGAAATGATAGCTATACACACAAAGGAAAAAAAAATCTGTCAAACAAAGTTGATTTGTTGTTTCTATAAAGAGAGTAAAAATTAAGTATTTGCCACAATTTCAGTTACAAAAGAAATTAGGCAAGTTTTCTGTAAACTAAGTTTTAATTAGATTTGCACAATGCATAGACATTTTATGAACACAAGTTTGCATTACAAACATTATGTTCAGTTGCTTCCATGCATTTGAGCTGACCCATATCATGCAAACATGCCCTTAGAGACATATATCTGCATCAACAAGATCATAAATTATAAGAGATTTCTTGGATAATTCATTACATTCGATTAACTAAAATTATCCAAACTCTTAATTAAGACTGCCATCTAGCAACTTGTAAATTGAAGAAATTACAGAACTTTCCCCACACAATTACTGGTTGTTTCTTCAGAAGACAAGCATTAAAAACATGTTTATTCTTCGATTTTTGCTCCTTTTTCCTTTTTTTGCACTATCTATATTGTTCATATTAACCCAAAATTATCTGAAATATACCTGAATTGAAATTTCAGAAGCAGATTAAATATGACAATTGCAAAAAGAAAATTATTTCAGATAAATTTTCGAATGTGCATCAGGAATTTGAGAGCTCAAGTTCCATTAAGATTCACAGTCCTTGCTATGATACTTGGCAGTATCTCTCAGCATTTGTATATATCTATTTTTTTCAGCATTTCTCTGATGCCCACAAGAGTTGGTGGGAAACTTTACAGAGTATGAGTCAAACCATTAGTCCCGAGGATTTTCTTATTATTTCTCAAAAGAAGTTTCCTAACCTGCCCAATAGTTCTATGGTATAGATGAAAAACTACATAGCTATAAATTATAGTATCCCAGGACAGACAGTGTGCAAGTAATAGTCAGCGTAGACATAATGTTAACCTCTCTGTCCTGCCCTTGATGCTTTGCATCATAATAATTTTGGAATGATGGATTTGCTGAACACTTAGAAGACAGACTTATTGAATTCATTTCCCGTCTGCTTCTCTGTACACTGCCCCGCACTACTGGATTTTTCAGGGCCCTCATCTTTCCAGGCCTTCAATTCATCCACTTCACAGGCTGACAGAGAAATCACCTTGGAAGAGCAGCACAAGAGTCGGAGGATCAGGCTGTGGAAGAAAACAGAAATCTACCTCCTGCTTTTGCACACTGCCATTCACTCTTCCACTTCCAGGAGAAAACACGCTGCCTTAGAGACTGCCCAGTGGTGACCTTTGGTAAATGAAGAGTGGATTTTCCACTGCAGAATACAGAAATGTGCCAAACACTCTTTTTTCCTCTGCTCCAGAACAGTAAAACAGCACAGAAAAAACACTTTACCTTTGCAGAAGCGGTTCAAGCCAGCCTTCATGGCATTCACAGTGGCAATCGAGGAAGGTCAGGATATCCCCTTTTGCTATGGAAGCCCCCAGCAGTCGTGCTCTAACCAGTCCTTCTCTTTTATTCGCCCGGATAAGGCGCACCTTCCGCAAGTTAGCCACATAGTTCTCCAAAGTCTCCTTTAAATGCTCTGTAACACAAAAAAGAGTAATACTACTAATAATGGAAGAATATTGTTTGGTAACAATTTGGTTTACGCCAGACTAAAGAACACTCTTTGTTTGCTAGTGTGTTGCTTACAGCAGTGCTTTACGGATGTAGTATTTTGAATGCTGATTTTGCTATACTGTTTAAAGAAACTGACAAGGAAAAAGCACAGAGTGTGGATGGGCAATATTCATGTTTATTTTTAAGAAATCAAATGTTTCACATTTGTTTCTCTAACCCATTTCCAAATAGTTAAAAGCATTACATAAAAGTTTAATACTTAACAGAATTCCTTTCTGATGGAAAATATTGTTTTGTGTCTCACAATTCAGATGAAAACAAATAATCAGGTAGCTCCTCATTATACAAACCCTAGGACAGCGAGAACTTACTCAAATTATAAAAGCTGAAATGCTTTGAGTTGCTTATAATTATGTACATACGCAGGCAATCCTGTTACAACACAGTCAGCATGTGCTTACCCATTCTTAACTAAACCAAACCCAAAATGCAAAATTTTCACTAGCATGCTACAGAAAGCCTATTTCCAATCGGATGCTTCTGATGGAGAATTGTAGGGTGCGTGACCATAAACGCGTACCTTTTCGTCATGTGGCTGACAACACCCCTCACCCCACAAACCTATTTAGAAATGTCATTCCTACCTTTGTCACTATAATCATCCACAAGGATAACCTCTTCCAAAAGTATATCTGGAGATGTCTCAAGGACACTATGAACAGTTCGTAGCAGCGTTGACCAAGCCTCATTATAAAAGGCTATCACAACAGAGGTTTTCGGCAACCTGTAATAATCATACTTCTTCTCTCTGCACCTGCAAGGTAAGGGGCTACATTTAGTGCAAGTACAAAACCACTTATAAACTTTCAGAAGACTATTTCCAAATGAAGAGTTTGTATGCTACTTACTACTTCTAAACAAGAATTTATAAAGGTTCTTAATAGAACTGTATGCACATGGACAAGTAATTCAAAGCATTCCAAAAGCCCATATACATCCACAACACTATATCTAAAAATTCTGCAACCTTCAACATCATATAAAAATAAAGATGACAGGAGGTATCCTGGATTATCGGCTGGATTATGTGCAATCTCTGATAAAAATTACTCCAAGTAAAAGAACAAGCAATGCTCAAAACATGCCTCACAGATATGAGCAGGGGAAAAAAATGGAGAAATTAAAAAAAAAATTACGGGATAAAACCAACATAAATTTCTGCTACCTTTTAGAAAACAAGATAGATGTGCTAGAGAGTAAAAATGTAACTGTGAAGAAACAGCAATATATAAAGATTAAAAAACAGTAAGAGAATTAAGGAGTATGTACAACAAAGCATAGTTTGGGAAAGACCACAGAAATGCCAAATAGAATAGCGAAAGCCACAAAAACACGGTCTTAAAAATGCATGGTTTGGGCTCTCAGGAGGGAGCCAGCAGGTTTCTTAGCTTTTGGATTAAACTCCAGAATATATTTCCTAAATATATATATGTGTGTGTGTGTGTGTGTGCGTATTATACATATATACACCGACATATATATAATATATATATAAATGCATTTCCCTAAATGAACATAAGGATGCCAAGAAACCTCCAGACAAGGCCAAAAGCATGCATTGTGAGATAAAGACTCTCCAAATCCAAAACACTTTTAAAAATAATGATGCTATTTATTACCTTTCCACCTGTTCTTTTCCATAAAAGAGTCTATATTAGCAGTTCTGTTACACGCCACCAGAAACATTTTACAGATTTCTTATGCCTGCAGTCTGGAAGGCACCAGTGTTTAAGAGGCTGAAGGATATACATTAGTTTCTGTATATCGCTAGATAAGGTACCACAGCAGGTAAGACATCCCTCCTATGAAAAGCAAGCATCATCAAGTCTTCCAGAAACTACACTACTGGGAACTGAAGAGGAAACCAGAAGTAGACCAGAAAAGCATAGGTGATATCAAATTCCATCAGTTCAACTTATGAGCAAAAAAAAATCCACAAAACTCCCACTCTAAAATAAAATGTACTGGTTACCTGTTGCATACTGAGTATGTATTCATTGACCATTTAATGCTGCTGTATCAGTAATTAAGATAGGAAAACTGAGATATCTCAGATGGAATACTTGAAGGATAAAGATATAGGCAAAATTGCCCATCCTTGCAGGCTTTTACACATCCCGAGACAAATCACGGCATTCACACAAAGAACTACCTCACGCCAGCGCAGAGTGACAGCGTTCATGCCCTAACACATGAAAAAGCACTGACATTTTAATTAATACTTTTTTAAACAGAAAAGCACTAGAAAACCTGCTGGATGAATTAAACTATTAGGACTATGCATTTATTTTAGCCTATTGAAAAAATAATATGCACAGAGCTACCAATATCACTCAAACATCACTGGCATTTGTACCAGGTATTACCAGTTCATTTCTGGATGGAAACAACATTTTTACTTCTGCATTTTAGGAAACCGAAGAGGGAAAATAAATAATTTAACAGGAGAAAACCTCCAGGAAAGCCTTCTCTGAAAAATATATCAAAATGATTCACAGAACAATAATGTTGCATTCCACTATTTAAAAAGAGAGAGGAAATCCCGAAATTCTAAAGACGTTTATAGCCCTAATTATAGATTCAACGGGTTTGCGTGCAATTTGCATGCTGGAGATAGGAATTTGGCAATTTGGCACAGACTGAGGCACTCCCTGCTGCCGATCCACCAGGCGCTACTGCCTCCTTCTCTGAGCCTTACACTGTACAGCAAGGCTGGCCCTTCCAGAACATTCCACAGTATCTATTTCCTAGGTTTCGCAAGCTAAGAAGGAGGCCAACCTTTAAAAACATTAAAAAAGACCTTTTATTGAGTGCAGCTACGCGTTAGCTCAGTTGTGGAGGGCAGCATGGAAGGGAACTGACTCACCACGACTGCCGTCTCAATTACACTGGACACCCTAAGAGCCTGCTCCTGTCTAACCTGCATTTCCTGTTATAAAGAAGAAAGCACAGATTTACACAGTACATCTTGCTTATCTTTTGGAAAAAAATAATTGCCATATATGCATCAATCAAAATGTTTGAAAACTTTATTTAAAAAACAGAACAAACAAGCAAACAAAAACCCTTGAAGTTACTCCGATAATACAAAGATGTACATCTTTATCTTGGAAATTACTTCCAAGACATATATTCTTTGCTGGATTATTGCAAAATCATAACTGTCAGCAGGTCTCAAATACTCTTCCTAAAATTAAGATGTATTTTTCCTTGTCTTTTTAAATTGAAAAAAGGTATCAGGGAGTTTTGCTCAATCTTAAAGAAAACAATAATCTCAGATTACAAACCTGAAGTGTTTAAATGTTGGGGAAGTAATGATCTAAAAGTTATAAAAGGGAATAAATCTCTAAAATCCAAGTGTTTCAAAGTGCTGTAATTTAATAATAAAAGCATACATATGAACACAAAACACGGACAAGAAATTCAAGCTTAAAAAAATACTATAAATATGAAACCTCACTTAAAGGTTAGTGGTCATAACTCAGCTTTTTCATTTCCCAACTTCCGTGTACAATACAGACTCTGTATTCACCTTTGTGGTTTTGCTCGCAGTGGGCAGGGAGCAAAACTGACTCAGAAAACATTTTTTTAAAAAATAGAATATAGTGAAGATATTGAAAAAACAGTGGATGTCATTTTATTAAAAGTTGTGCTCAACTGGGGCCTTTTATAGATAGGGCTATTTTAGAATAGGGCTGACCACAGAGGTCTGAATCCAATTTTACTATCTTCACTCCTCATCTGGCAAACTGCAGAGGTGGCAATGTGAACTGGAGGGTCTGACAAGTCTCTTTACCCAAAGGAAAAATCTCTCCTGCTCCTTCATCCTCCTCCCCGACAAGCCATGGCAGAGGACAGGTCTGGGCTAGCATGTTCTTTTTGCACCTGTATCCCTCCCTCTCTTGCTCCCAGCAGCAGTTTAGGGTTCAGAAGGCTCATTCACGAGCATCCCAACCACAGCAACATGACACAAGGCACTCTGCTGGCTTCCAAGCCAAAATGTAGTTATTGAATCTACATGGGCTATCCTTGGCTGAAATTGCTAGTTGAACAGCCATCCCTCACTTGGGAAAGAGGACTATGGATAAAATCCAGATGCAAGCCAGAAGCTACACAGCCCTATTACATCAAAATCAAGGTATCAACTTCTCCTTCTTGTACGTGTAGCTGTAGCATTAGCAGAGGAGTTGCGTGCGAGAGGAGAAACCAGAGGAAGCAGCACTGAGAGCATCGAGTGCACAGCCATAGGCCTGGGCAGATGCACTGCGTAGAGCATATGTGACAACTTAAGGAAAGGAAAGGACAACTTAAGGAACTTAAGGAAAAAATTACTAACAGTGAGGGTCACAGAGCACTGGAACAGGCTGCCCAGAGAGGTTGTGGAGTCTCCTTCTCTGGAGATCTTCAAAACCTGTTTGGACAGCAGTCTTGCACCATGTGCTCCAGATGACCCTGAGTGTGCAAGGGGATTAGACTAGATGATCTCTAGAGGTCCCTTCCAACCTTAAGCATTCTATGATTCTATGATATATTTTCAATGAAATTAATAACATGATAAAGCAGACTATGCTGACCTCTTCCAAACATCACCCAAGTTTTCATGATAACTTTTTATATTTTCTTACAGAAAATTAATTTGAAATAACTGTTGGTACATTCTATAAAAAACAAACAAACAAAACTTTATTTGACCGTGGAATGCAAACACTGTGCCACGTTTTGCCCAGCTACTTATCCCACACACAGCCACACATCACAGAAACAGGTGCTGAGGCTTACACAAGGTGGATCCGCAGCTGATTAGCACAGCAGAAAACTGAAGGTGACATAATCACGGAACAGGATTTTCTTTCACTAATACAATAGCTGAAGGAAATTATTGTAATCACCACTAGTAGCAGGGTGTGGATGCATATGATCTTTAGAGACAACTGTGTACAGTAAAAGCACTGTTTTTTTTTTAAAAAAAAAGCTAAACAAAATAAATCATAACCATCCTATTTTATTCTTAATTAGCTGAGATTTGGGAATCCCATCAGGTTTAAAAACGAACCAAACTAACCAAACTAAACACTCGTCTTTAAAGGTCAGAAGAAGCTGAGGCTCTCTCCAAGGCCTTAGAGAAAACAAAAATCAGAAAATAGTTTATTTCAAGGACATAAGCTCTTCTGAAGAATGTTTGATGGTTAAGCAATTTGTAATGACGAAAAAAAAAAGACATTTTTACAGGAGACAGGAAACAGCATATCAAAAATAGTAAAATATCCCCAAAGGATCAAAGCAACTGTGGAAGTATTGCTGCATTCTGTACTGCCAAAAAGTACAAGTCACACACCGTTTTGCAAGTCCAAAGCCTGTTTATAAGAGCAGAAGGTAGCCACAGTATTATGAAGATACAAAATGCATACAACAGTTTTATGCAAAGTATTTGCTTATAAACAGAAATGGGATGTATCTTTTGGACTCTGAACAAGTGCAAGGAACGGGAATGTCTACATCAGATTATGCCATGGGTATCGCAAAATTATCTTTTTTACACTTGCTGTGTGAGCTGAAGAGATGCTGTATATCTGCCATAGTTTAAACTTTATGGAAAGTACAGCACACTAAAGCAGAACATTAAATCCTATTTTAGGACACAATTAGCTCTGACATTACTTATACCCTGTTACTGATGCTTTTTAATTCTTCTGGTTTGGATAGATTTTGTCATTTCAACATATATGGAAACATCCAATTTAGAAAAGGAAGTCACTGTAGCAAGATCCATCTGCTCACTTATATCATTTTCTTCTCAATAATCTCTCTTTTTCCCCTCTCTATGGCAATCCCTGCTCTACAAACTGTGGAAATGGCAGGAGCCCCAAAAAAATCATTAAAATAACTGAAAATCTTCCTGTAGATATGCAACAAGAGTAGTCCTTTCAGCCTATGGTCTGTGGACTATTTCTGAGAAAAGCATGAAAGCTGAGCAAAACAAGACTACCATCAGCTGTAAATTTACTATAAAAATATCCTGCACTTTCATTGCAAATTTTTAGGAGTTGCCACAGGATTTATGTTTTAGACTCAGTATCCATACACAGAATTGGAGGAACTCCTGCAGAAGTCAAACTGGAGTGAACATATGGTAGAAACTGAGCCTTTCTTTTTCCACAGTTCCCTGCTACCACACAAACCTGTTGCAAGAAAATGAGCACATGGCTGAGGATAAGCCCAAGTGAACGAGTGTGCAGAACTGTGAGGGGTTCATAGCAGCTAAGGCACTCTTCCCTTTGGCTGGACACTCATACCCGTAACTGGTCAGCTCTGTTATTAAGATTTTTCCTCTACCTACTGGCAGTTCAGTTAACAGGACAGTCCTTCCCCTTCCACCCTGCTTCCCGCTCCCAGCTGCAGAGGGAGGACTGAACAAAACAGCCTTAACAAAACGTGAGGCAAGAGCTGATCACACACTACAACCTTCCCATGTCATGTGGGAGCAGCACGCTCTTGGTAACCTGTGTCTGAATACTCTTGCCGTCAGCACGACCTGCTTTGTACAGTGTGCCAGATGTTTTACTTCAAGCACAGCAGGAAGCTGAGATTTAGGAAGCATAACATTTGTAAAACTGGAGGTGATTTTAAAAGTGTGCTGCCTTAATTGCCCTAATCAGGGATTGATATGGGTGACAGGTGCAGAAGAAACACTGCAGGATGTTTATAAACTTATATATTTATAAAGGCAGAAATAGTGGTGATGCAGGTGGAGGAAAGCAGTCTCTCCCAGGTACACAAACACACCCACCATCAGCGTGTTTGTTTTTGTGCCCTTTGGAGGAGCAGGAGCCGGATGAAACGGCCACGTCGCGCCCGCGGGCAAACGGGGTGATGCCGAAGGCGGCGGGC